CGAAGGAATGTAATGACAATGAGTGTGCATTATACTTAAATAGACCAAAGAACAAATTAAAATAAATGAACGTAACAAAAAAAAACACATATAAAAAAACGTTTACTCTAAATTATTTTAGTGATGTTATGTCCTCTAAGCCAATAAAACATTTACTTTCAAATATGTGGTTGTTTGAGACGTTTGGAACTCCCTGTGTGATTGAGGTGTTTGCAAACAAGTGGATCGGTGAGTGCATATTACTGAGTATGCTGGTACACGTAAGCGGTATGTATTCGTCGTGTGTGCATTTACAGCAGCAGGTGTATGCATGTTACTGATTCAAGGTGGCGGTTGATAAAGGAGTTTGTATTGCACATCGTCATGCTTGTGCGCACTTGGGGGACGGTGTGTACATACTAGGGGAAAGATGTGTGCGTTATGGTGAAGAGTGTATGCATAAGCGGTATAAGATGTGTGCATTATGTCGAAATAGATGAAAGAACAACTTAAAAGAAATCTATATATATATATATATATATATATATATATATATATATATATATAATAGAAGTGTCTGGAAAGGTTTCCCCCCCAAAATTTAGGGAAATGTTTGTCAAACCAAACTCATTATTAATTTAAATAAAATCATTGATAATATTGCTTGCAATCTTTAATTCTAAAATTAGTGATTTTAGCAATATAATAATAAAGAAATGCATACAATGTTTAGAATTATCATTTGGCAAATTTAGAATTAAAATTAATTAATAGCTATAAATTTTATAATTGACAAATTGAAAGCTTTTACCTTTTTTGAGATCTCTTACCATTTTGTAATTTTAATACTACTCCCTTTTAATCTCATCCATTATGTATAAATACACTCTATATGTTAATGAGTTTTTTACTCTCATAGTTTTGACGTCTAAATACACATATATCGTACATCATATGTAGTTATTAGAATCGGATTTAGGGTTTTGGGTATTTAATTATATACATTAATTTAGAAATAGCCTATTAAAAAGTTTGAAATGATGTAATAAATTATTTTAAAATTATTTGACAGATTGAAATGTCTCATAAGTCTCCCTGCAATTAGGAATTTTTATTTGTAATTATGAAATTAATTACCATATATAAAAATAGTTTATTTAAAGGCATGATATTTATTTATATAATAACTATTTCCATATGAACGTATGTAATTGTCAATTCCATAATTACATATAGGTATAATAGGATAATACTATATTTATATATTATTATATACATATATATCGTACATCATATATAGTTATTTGGATCGAATTTAGGAATAATATATATATATATATATATATATATATATATATATATATATATATATATATAGAGAGAGAGAGAGAGAGAGAGAGAGAAGTGAGTTCAAATGAGGACAAGTATATTATAGAGAACTATGAGGACAAATATGGTGCATTGGATGGTAATAATGGATGGTGTAGATTAAGGGAGATTATTTTATTAAATGAGGTTTTTTTTTTATGCTGAATCATTTTTTTTTTAATTGTAGGGGGTAGTACGGTAATTGGACAATTGTATTTAATGTTGTACCCCTTTTTTTTTGGGACAATATTATACAGCGCACGATCTCTCTCTCCAATTACATACATTTTCTTTTCTTTACTAAATATTTTCGCTTTTCTGAGAACTTTGCGTGGCACACGACATAATATCAAGATGCACACGATATCCTGAATGATGGCACACGAGTTTCAACGGCATGGCTCAGGATTTGATAACCCAGTACCCTACACGATTTGATATCCTAAATCATGGCTTCGTCCATTGTTGTAAACCGTATATCTATGTGTGCAAAGCTGTGTGGTTCTAGTTTTCTTATTATGACACATAACATATTATGAAGATGCACACGATTTCTTCACAAATGGCACACGAGATTTAAAGAAATATGATGCAATAAAAGATTATCAGTGAAACATATATTAATTACTGAAATCGCATGTTCACTCGAACCTATCTTCTTTAGTGTGCTTTTTGTTTAAGCACTAATAATCACCGTTTATATATTTCATTAAAAAACTATGTCTTACTGTGTGTGCAATGTTATGTGGTTCCTTTTTTTCTTTTGTAGCACATGACATAATATCAAGATGCACACGATATCTTGAATCACGGCACACGAGTTTCAAAGGCAGGGCTCACGATTTGATAACTCAGTACCTTACACGATTTGATATCCTACATCATAGCTTCGTCAATTGTTGTATACCGTATGCACAGCCTCATTATTAGGCAGTTAGTATTTACAGGATAGTTTAGCTAGTCTTAAGCTACCTTAGCTGATAGTTAGTTAGACTAAATGTATATATATATATATATCCCAGTTTCTGACTGTTCTCTTCGCACACTTCTGATGGCAACCGCGGTCGAGGCCGTAACCACAGAGGACAATGAGGCCATGGGCAACGTTAGCGTGGGGGAATCTGGTGTCAGATATGCGACATTCCAAGACACACCGCCTTGACGTGCTATTGCCGGTAAAGTGATGCTCCCGACGGTGCTCCTCTTCCGCAGCAGTTTTGGAGTCATCCCGGCGGTGTTCCTCATACGCAGCAGTCTTGGAGTCAGCCGACACCTCCTCGTGCTCAAATGACTTTTCAACAACAGCATCAAGATGACTTCAACTCAGTCCCGTTCAATAACGTGTGGATTCTAGATACGGGGGCGAATGCTCATGCCACACCGCACTCGGGGGGACTGCAAGATGCCGAACCATACACCGGCACTGAAAATCTAAAAGTGGGCGATGGCTCAGGTTTGTCCATTATAAGTACAGGTTCAGTTTCTATTCCTACTCAGTTTCGGTCATTGTTTCTAAATAATGTTCTACATGTTCTGAAATTACGTGCCTCCTTGTTATCCGTGAATAAATTTAATCGTGATAACAATGTTTACTTCGAATTTCATCCGTCTTGTTTTTTTTTTTTTTTTTTTTTTTTTTTTTTGTGAAGGATCGGGTTACCCACCAAACTCTTCTTAAGGGTCCCAGTGACAGTGGTTGTACTCGCTCAACTACAATGCACCCTCCCCGGTTGCCTTGGTATCTGCTAAAACGTCCGCTCAAGTCTGGCACAAACGTCTCGGTCACCCACATATTAAAGTCCTTCGTCAGGTTTTGTCTAATTGTCTGATTAATAATTCCATAAGTTCATTGAACAAATTTTGTATTTCATGTCAAATGGAGAAGTCCACCCGTTTTCCTTTGTCTAAAGTTAAGCATTCTACTACTTCTGTACTTGAATTAATCTACACGGATATTTGGGGACCTTTCAAGATACGTTTGGTATTATCCCATGAAAAATAAAACAGACATTTATTCAATCTTTGCTAATTTCTGGGCCCTAGTAGAAAACTTTTTCTCTACAAAAATCAAAAGCATCCAGTCCGACCTCGGTGGTGAATACCGAAAGTTACATTTGGTGTTCGCGACCGCAGGTATCTTACACCACCAGTCGTGTGCACATACACATGAGCAAAATGGCCTCGTTGAACGCAGGCATCGACATGTTGTCAAAACTGGCTTATCTCTGTTAGCTCATAGTCACGTTCCACATAATTATTGGCATTTTGCGTTTCAAACAGCAGTCTATTTGATCAATCGAATGCCAACTCCCGTTCTACGTAATAGGAGTCCGTATTCCTTACTGTTTCATAAAACCCCGAACTATGATATGTTGCGTGTATTCAGTTGTGAATGCTTTCCGTGTCTTCATCCTTATAACACCCATAAAATGGAGTTTCGGTCGGTCTCATGTGTCTTTTTGGGTTACCTCGATTCTTTTAGTGGTTACAGGTGTTGGACAGGGCGACAGGGCGTGTTTATGTGGCCCGTCATGTCAGGTTCAATGAAGATATGTTCCCCTTTCAGTTCAATCCAGAACCATCGGAGGAATGCGGCACTAATAATGCTCAATTACCTTGGGCGTGTGCCCAAATTGTTCAATCGGCGGCCCGTGGTGCACCACCACCACAACCCATATCTGACTCCATTGGTGATATCCTACTAGCAGTAGTGCTCAACCGACACAGGCTGCTAACACTTCGGATTCCTCTTACCAGCCGACTACTTCGTCGACTAGGGTTTCTAAACCACGTCGCAAGCGGTCACTGACATGCAAACATGTTATGCATCTTCGTGACACGACAAATCAGCAAAGACGGCCTCCCCGAGCCATGATTGCCTCAGTTGACGATGATGAACCGACTTGCCACTCTCAGGCCGTAAAGAGCGAGCACTGGCTCAATGCAATGGACGCAGAATTTAATGCTCTATCAAACAATAATACATGGACTTTAGTTCCCTATCATACCACTATGAATGCAATAGGTAGCAAATGGGTGTATCGCATAAAGCGCAAGTCTGATGGCTCAATCGAGCGGTATAAAGCCCGCCTGGTTGCCAAAGGGTTCAACCAGGTCCTGCCGTCCCGGGCATTGATTATTCCGAGACATATAGTCATGTTGTCAAACCGGCTACAATTCGGCTCCTATTAGCCTATGCCGTATCAAACAATTGGGTGATGAAACAGCTAGATGTCCATAATGCGTTCTTAAATGGACACATTACTGAAGATATCTTTATGCGGCAGCCTCCCGGTTATGTCAACCCGAGCTACCCCGATCATGTTTGTAAACTCCAACGGTCGCTTTATGGCCTCAAACAGGCACCGCGGGCGTGGTTTACTAGGTTGCAGGAGTTCCTGATTTCAATAGGTTTTCGGGCCTCGAAAACAAATGTATCGTTGTTCATTCTTGATTCTGGATAGGTCTGCATCTATATCCTCGTCTACGTGGATGACATTCTTGTGCTAGGGAATGACGCCGTGCAGGTGCAATCCATATTGGACCGCCAAGCCTCAACGTTCTGAATTCGTGACGTGGGACAACCACGGTTCTTTCTTGGAATTGAGGCCATATACACCACCGGCGCAGTCCTATTGTCGCAACGGCGTTACATGACGGAACTGCTACGCAAAGTAGGGATGGAATCTTGCAAGCCGCTTACCACTCCCATGACTACAACAACGGCGAACAGTGACGATGAATTTTCCCCGCTAGAGGATCCGACTGTGTATCGTCAACTGGTTGGCTCCCTTATGTATCTGTTGATCACACGACCGGACTTATCATTTGCTGTCAACCGGCTGTGTCAATTCATGCACAATCCTAAGGAAGACAACCGGGCCACCCTAAAGCATGTTCTACGCTATGTGCAAGGCACCCTCACTCTTGGACTTCGGCTTACGAGTTCGGTGGCACTCGTGGTTCATGCCTTTTTCGACTCCGATTGGGCTGGCTACTCGCTGGACACGAAGTCGACAGCCAGTTATGCGGTGTTCCTTGGCCCCAAATTAATTTCATGGGGCTCGAAGAAGCAACGCACAGTGGCCCGCTCCTCAACCGAGGCCGAATACAAGGCACTTGCAGATGTCTCCGCTGAAGTAGTATGGGTCCATTCTCTTCTCCAGGATCTTGCCTTGGCCTGTCCCACTACTCTGGTCCTATGGTGTGATAATCTTGGGGCGACCTATCTTTGCTCGAACCCGATTTTCCATGCTAGGACCAAACACGTCGAGGTCTACTATCACTTTTTCCGGGACAAGGTGGCTTCTGGCTTTCTTAAAGTCAATTTTGTTTCCACTCATGATCAATTGGCTGGCATTTTCACCAAACCCCTTGCTGTGTCTCGGTTCACTGCTCTCCGGTTCAAGCTCAGGGTTGTTCCGTGCCCGCTTACCGCTTGAGGGGGGTGTATTAGGCAGTTAGTATTTACAGGATAGTTTAGCTAGTCTTTAGCTACCTTAGCTAACAGTTAGTTAGACTATATATATATATATATATATATATATATATATATATATATATATATATATATATATCAACGTTGTATCTTCATCTATTCATCAATACATATTTTCCAGAATTTTCCAGAAACAACATATTCAATCCTCATTACCTCATGTTTACACGTGTCTTCTCAACTCATGTTCCTTCTTTGGATATGATTCTCTACCATAATTATACTCCTTCTTAAATGCTATATTTGTTAATTAGAATCCTTCCATAATTATAAATTATCTCAAATGTCTTATTTGCCCTCTGTTAATTATTTTGGGCGTGAATCATACTGTTATATGGACAAGATCTCAGCTATTAAATCTCCAGGGTTGGATGGACCTTTGTTAATTAGAATCCTTCCATAATTATAATTGATCCCTCCACTGAGGCTCGAACTTACAACCCGGGTACGATTAAACCACATAGTCCTGGTATATATATATATATATATATATATATATATATATATATACATACATATACATATACATATACATATACATATACATATACATATATATATATATATATATATACATATACATATCTATATACATATACATACATATATATATATATACATATACATATACATACATATATATATATATATACATATACATATCTATATATACATATATACATATGTATATATATAGATATACATACATATACATATACATATATATATATATATATATATATATATATATATATATATATATATATATATATATATATATTAGATTTAGGATCTCGTGCGGGTGAGCGCTTCAGGTGCGGTTGTGCGGTTTAATCTGAGCTATTCATCTCGCTTTAATCAACGTTCAAAATTATCAAAATTTAAAAAAAAAATGCGGTGGCAATTTTGTAATTTTTGCATCTAGGTCAAAATTAAGGTGAGTGGTTTTGTGATTAATGTGCGTGAGTTTTGTATATAAGGTGCGTGAGTCTTGTGCGTAATGTGCATGAGTTTTGTGCTTAATGTGCGTAGGTTGGTGCTTAATGTGAATAGTTGTTAAAACTTGTGTGTGGGCATTTGTGCTTAAGGTGCGTGAGATTTGTTCTTAAGGTGAGTGAAGTTTGTGCTTAATGTACGTGGGGTTTGTGCTTAATGTGCGTAGGGTTAGTGATTAATGTTAGTAACTGTTGAAACTTAAAGTCTGTGAATTAATACCTAAAGTGCATCAGTTTAATGCTTAATGTGCGTGAGGTTTGTGCTTAATGTGCGTGGGTTTTGTACTTAATGTGCGTGAATTTGTGCTTAATGTGAGACATTTTAAAATCTTAAGTGTGCTTTGTTTTGTGCTTAATGTGCTTTGTTTTGTGCTTAATGTGCGTGATTTTTGTACTTAAGGTGAGTGATTTGTGTTCTTAAGGTGCTTTGTTTGTGGACTTAAGGTGCGTGGTGATTTGTGTATTTAACGTGCACCATGTTAATGCTTAAAGGGCGTCCAACCATATAACCGCACATGAACCCTTCCCTATATATATATATATATATATATATATATATATATATATATATATATATATATATATATATATATATATATAATTGGGTAGAATAATTTAATTATGTATATAATTTAATTATGTATATTAATTTAAAAATAGTCTATTAAAAGGTGTGAAATGATGTAATAAATTATTTTAAAATTATTTGACAGATTGGAATGTCGCAGAAGTCTCTCTGTGGTTAGAATTTTTTTTTGTTGTAATTATGTAATTAATTACCATATATAAAAAATAATTTATTAAAAGGTAGGATATTTATTTATATAATAACTATTTCCATATGAACGTATGTAACTATCAATTTCATAATTAAATATAGGTATAATAGGGTAATACTATATTTATATATACATATATATCGTACATCATCACTAATTTTTTTGTTTAGGCTTTGTTGGAAATAATGAACCAAAAGTCGATTTAATATCCCAAAATAGTATTTATATATACACACGAAAATATATAAAATAATATTCGATATATATCCAAAATATATATATACACACAAATATATATAAAACGGACCCAAAGGTTATATATACATATATATCTACGAAAAAGATATACCAATATATATCAATCAAAAATTAGAACTTATAATCCTCTTATTATAATTCCAATCCAACGACTAAAACAACTATAGAGAGAGGATTTTTGCTTAGAAGCATAATCCAAACCGAAAGAAGTTGGAGATTGGCTCGTGTTTGAGTATAGGGTTTTTAGCGCAAGTCAAGAGATCACTCTTTCCTTAAAACCTTATTTGCCACCTCCCAAAAGTGCTAAGAGCGTTGTGACCTAGGTTTCCCAGGATAAAACGTGCTATGGTTCAACGTTTGAGCACCCAAACAAACGAACCCGGTGAACTAGAGCAAAGCCTTGAACACAGTTAGGCAAAGAAAGGAGTAGGAGTAGAGTATTTTGGAGCTAAAATCGTGCAAGCGTGTATGATTTCTTCTTGTTCTCTCTTGTGTTAAAACATCAGCTGTCCTACTCCCTTCTTATATAGGGGTTGGAGTACTCAATAGCATTTTGTTGGCATTTAATCCACGTTTTGTAACACCTGAAATAGCCACCATTAAGTGAGATTAAATTCAAATTTTAAAATTGGAATTAACAATTAATTCCGTAACAGAAGAATTTAATCGCACAGGTGCTGGTCCCTCTTCTGTGTTACTTTCGACCTTGGACCATGGTCTCAGCCAAGGCCAACTTTCAACTGTGTTCAACCGTCGATCCCTGCATAGGATAGGTAGGGATCACTATACCCTTTGAACCTTCCCTTGTGAAGATATGTTTACTCTACTGGCTGTGCGGTAGAACGCGATGTCTTTGAAGCGATTGCCGTTTGTGTAGACGATGACATATCTCACACAGGAACCTCCCAACCATGCTCTGTTCTCAGGACTGTGCCCATTTTGTTCTTGGGTCACCGTTCCTGGTTCTGCGAGAGTTTCTATAGAATTGTGCCCATCAATTCTCCTTTGAAGCAACCCTCACTTCTCTCTTACATAGGTGATTCTTTCTCGAGTATCCCGCATACTCACACATGTCAACCGACATTCGAATCATTAAAGCATTAACGTGTTAGCCTCGTGCGAGAGTCACTGTTTCTAACGAGGAGTGGTAGGGAGTCCGAGACCCCCACAGTGACACGCTCCGTTCCATAATTTAGTTATCCCATTGAACCTAGGTGCCAGCTAGGTTGGGTATCCACTATAGAACTTTTAGTCAAGGCTATAAAGACTCATTCCTCGTTCCAACTTCTCAACAACCATTTGCTTACCCTCGGGTTAGCGAGTTAGCGGCCGCTACGTTATCTTTTGACATCACGTAGTCAATAGAGATAACCCCTGTTGTGAGAAATTGTTTAATGGTATTATGTCTACGACTTATAATTCTAGACCTACCATTCCACATTTAACTCGTTACTTAACCAATTTTGGCTTGACTATTGCAACACACACAAATTGGAAGTACGAGTATATCTCTAGGAACATTCCGAGAGAAATGGCATAGCCATTTGGCCTACTCGCTCGCGACACGAGTTTAAGGCTCTCAGCTTAGATCCCGTCATGGATCTTAGCTATCACAAATCATTTCGAGAATTTCTCTACAACCATTGCATTGGCCTACGTAAGCACGTAGCCTTTAATGGACTTAGCGTCCTTTGATATCCGTGCTATAGTTTCCAAGTACAGCTAGATATCCCACATAGTGCAGTCCAAAGTCACGAGCATACCTTAAGTATCTCATAACTCTCACTATTACCTTCTAGTGCGTAACACTAGGGTTACTCGTATGTCTACCGAGTTCGTTAACCGCAGAGGCAATATCCGGCCTAGTACAACTTATTTGATACAATTAAACTACCAATAATCTGAATGTATTCTCCATGAGAAGTACAATCTTCGTGATTATTGGCTAGTTGTACGTTAGTATCTAACGGTGTCCAAGCCACTTGATTAGCATCCTTTTCAGGATTCAATCAACTCAATGAGATTGGCTTAACACGAGACCATACGGTCTTCTCACGATTTTAATCTTTAAGATTAAATCTGCCAAACTCACACCCCTCATGTCAAATCTCAAATTTAAAATGTTCCTGATAGCAATGTTGCAAAACACGTTAGGCGCCCCCTAGGCGGCAAGGGGGCGCCTAGCGCCTAGGCGCCCCTTTTTTTTCTTTTTTTTTTAATTAAAAATAAAATTAAAAATTAAAATTTTTTTAAATTTAGTAATAAAACATAAGATTTCCATAGTTATTTCTTAGAAACTATTTACGAAAGTGGTTGTAAAAGTGTTCAAAAGATTGTTTAAACCATCTAAATACATTAAAAAAAAAACTAAAATTAAGAGCTAAAGAAGCATTTTTTGAGAAATTAGTGTGGACCAAACCGCAACAGATGAATTTAATTGCACAGGTGCTGGTCCCTCTTCTGTGCACGAGCTTAGGCTTGGATCAAGCCTTTTCGATCTCAATTTGGGATTTGATTTGCACCCCACCCCCCGCGCGAGAGAAAACTTCTATGTTATACATTTAATAAGTTTTTAAAAGACTCTTGTATAAATAGTGGGACAAATCCTCTTCCCAAACCAATGTGGGACAAAAGTACACTTTTTCCCTTCATTTTTCCAACTCAATGGGTCTACTTTGAGAATCAATATCTCATTCACTCATTATCCGTTTTGAGCGTACAATATATCAATCTCTTCGTCTCACTATGAAGAACCCGAATCTACTTTGACCCGACCCAAATCGGAAGTGGACCCCACTGATAATTGTACCACAAAATAGCCACTTAAAATACCATTTTAATGCTATTTTCCAACAGACTTTTCTTAATATAATTTGTAAGTAATCAATTTCAACACTAATATACAACAAATC